ACGGCGTCTAAGTCGCGGCGTCTCGCCTACCTGCCTGCCGTGAGGCTCTCCCCCGCACACCTCAATTCTCTTCTCGGCCGTGTCCGCTGTGTGTGGCCTTCCGGTCGGCCGCAGATGATGCATCCATTGCGCAACCTCAACTCCCCTTGGCGCCCACAACAACGGGACGTTGAACTGACTGCAAAGTGGGTAGGGCTAACCCATATGTACTGTGGTGTGTGGTGAGGCTCTGCATTGCTTAACGCCGCATGGCGCTTACCTTTACCTAGAATAGCATCTCAGATCTCATTACGGCCCTCTCATTGGCCCATCATTCTTCGACCCGCCGAACATCTCCCGCTCTTGTGCCCAAGGTTCGTCAGACTGAACGACACCTCTTTCCCCGGATACCCTTCTGATGTAAGGCGTGCAGAGATCCGGGGTCAAACATGTCTGTTTCGAAACTCGATCACCACACCTCTTATCAGCAAGCCTTGGTGGCGTCCAACCATCTGACGGGGTGCAGCTACCAGCGGTTCAAGGTCAAGAGCTATTGGGACAGATCAACAGGGCAGATTATATATATCTTTTGACTACAGATCTAGGCATATCCACATCGTGCCATAACCCCATGTTATTCCAACGGTCCCCCACCATCGCTAACACCATCTACTAATCACTTATACCGTCACATGTCTACCCGCCAGCTGGTAGGTCGTCTCACGATTGGCGCCTGCAGCCTTCAACATCCTCATCACAAATCTCAAGATGCAGACACTGACGACAGCCTCGCAAGTCTGGTGTCGTAGATGTCAGTAAATCTCCGAAGGTACTGACCACTGGTACTGGTGCATGATCAACCTCGAGTACGTGCCTCACGGTTGAGCAGCCTCGCTCTCCCCGGGTCGTGACGAAAGACATGTACCTGCATATAGGCTTGGTCCTAGAACCCCTTTCTTCCTCGAGGAAATGCAAGCCAAGACGTCGGCGGGTATTGTTCCCGTCGCTTGGGGGCTTGCTGAGCTTTTTATAGATGCCGCTGCCGTTAGGAAGCAATCTGTCTCTTTGTTGAACTTTGTAAATCAATGTACCACACATTTCAGGAGTTGAACATGACGAGATATCTCTTGAAACGCATGCACCGGCTAGCCGCCCAAGCATCGCAAATTGTCTGTCATGATCGATTCGTCTCGGACTTTTCTGAACAGCAGGTTGTCTCTCAAGATACTCACATTGTATTATCGTCACATGACACCAAGTCACAAAGCATTCTCCACAGCAAGAAATGGAGGTCTTGCACAAGTCTAGTTGTTGTCAATTTAGTACCATAGAAGCTGTCCAGTTCAATCACCATCTTTATGTCCAGCAGTGATGGCATTCCGCGTAACACAGTTGAAGGAATTCAGAGATAGGTAATGCTTTGGCAACTGCACCTTGAACCGGAGGTCGAAAGTAGGTGTTTGTTGCAATCCAAGCATGCCCTGCCCAGTTTTCTATCTTCCAGCTAACCATCACAACATCGGGTTTCGTAGCTCGAGCCCCAAGTATCCGGTTCGCCATCCCTTGACAACGATCCCTACCTATGTTACCACGGGAGCATGATCGCACATCCGCATTCGCTCCATCGACCACTCACCACGCACTCACATACTGTACTTCGTTTGTTTTGACTTTACCTAATATATCCATACTTGCACCTTGCGGCTACCAAAGCCCTTCAGATGCAGTTCCATCCTTCTTTGTCATCTTTTTTTTCTTGGTCCACTTACCTTCATCTCAGGTTCATTTTATTCATCTTCAACCTTGTGTATTCCTCAACCATAACTTTCACTGACACACTCGAATCAAGGTGACAATAAATCCGGTTGCCACCTACTTGGGCAAGGTAGCACTCTACATTTTGCAATCATCAGATCAGCTATTTAGCAGATCATATAAATTTCAACTTTGGAGATAGAACACGTCAACTTGACTACACCAAAATCATGTACCAGATAGCATTTGGCACTGGGAAGTGAACACATCCATCGCTTCGAGCAATGCACTGGACGTCCTGATGGATCAGGCAGAGATATTGTACTGTACACAGAGCGTGGTGACTCCCAAAGATATCATTACTATCTGTACAACTCCTCCACCGTCCTCCAGACTCCCATTTCCGATAGTCCAAGACCTGGGCCAAATCACTTCTTTTGCCGCTTCGAGCTCTTATCACTCGCCGCGCTCAACACGCTCGCGCTCCTCTTATGCCCAGCAGCAGTCAAACTCCCACTACTCCCGGGCCTCTTCTTCTCCCCATCCTCCTTTGTCTGCCCCCCCTCCCCAGTCTTCTCTCCGGCCTTCTCCCCCTCCCCAGCAGCAGCAGCAGCACCATCACCACCACCACCACCACCACCCTCACCCTTCTCCTTCCCCCCCTCCTTCTCGGCCGCGATACCCTTGGCCCGATCCCGTTCCGCCTTCTTCGCCTCCTCAATCTTAATCTCCCCATCCAACCGATCACTCATCTTCCTCAAATCCACCAACGCCGTCACCGCCCCCCAAAGCACCTCAAACTGCGCCGTCACCGCAGCCGTCGGCATCACCAGCCTAGGCGGCAAGTCAAGCTCGCTAAGCGCATTCGTAATCCGCAGCTGCTGCTGCCCGCTCTTGTGGCTGTAAAGCTTGTTAATCTTCTCATACCGAAACGTCGGGCCGCTCCCCAGCCTGTCATGATACGACACGCCATAAACCTGCTCCTCCTGCTGCGTCAACTTCCTCCTCTCCGGCTGCTGCTGCGCACCCCCGCCCTTCTTCTTATTCGCCGCCGCCGCCGCCGCCGACGTAGGCGTCGGATCAGCCGGCGTAGCCGGTGTCCTCGCATCCGAATCACGACGAGCATGATGGTGATGATTATTCGACGTCGCAGAAGCGGCGATGCTCTCCCTCCGATTGGCAGGGTTCGTCTCCGAAACCGCACTGTTCGGCACGCCCGAGTTGTTGCTGGGACTGACGCCCTCCCCAGGCATGATGCTCTTCCTCTTCTTGTTCTTATCCGTCGACATCAGCGTCTGAAGCAGGTTCTGCAACCCGGCCGACGTCTTGAACGAGTTGATGTCCGAGTCCGTGGCCGGGTAGTCAAGCCGGTTGTAGAGCTCGCGGCGCTCCTCGTTGAACCTCTCCGTGCGCGCGAGGATGCGCTTGACCTCTAGCAGCAACGACTCCTCCTCCCGGGCCTCGTCCTTGGAGCGCGACAGAGTGTTGAGCGCAAACTGCTTTCGTTTTCTTTCCTGCTCCGGGTCAAAGTTTTGCATCATCTCGTAGAGCTCAAACTCTGGCCGGGTCATGTACTGCGCCGGTTTCTGAACAGCCATCATTTTGGCTGCCACCTCGTAGTATCGCGCTTTGAGATCCTCCATGCTCCGCTGTTTTGGGGCCGGCACCACCGCCGTGCTGGTATCCTCCCCATTTGCCGCATCACCACCACCACCGGGTGGTTTTGGAGTAAAGTCATACCGATCCCATATCAACGTCCACCTCAGATCAAAATCCTTTGCCAGCTCCAACAAGTAATCCGTCTCCTCCTTTGTCCAGTCGTTGTTCTGGAGGTTGGAGTGATACTGATCCTCGGTGTAGTGAGGCACAACGACCTTGACATTGTACTTAGCAAACGCCGAGTCCTCAGGCTTCTCCTCCCTCCTTTCCGAAGCTGGCGTCCCCTCCCCCCCTCCCCGCTGTTGTTGCCCATCTCCATCCTGCGCACCTTCTACCGGCGGCGCGCCATCATCCGTCCTCCTCTTCCAATGCCTCAGCACCAATGCGCCGTCGTCTCCCCTCGCCGAGTTGGTGAACGCCTTGAGCTCCCATTTCGCAACCGGCTTCCGTGTCGCAAAGCGGCGCTTCTTGAAGAAGTTAACTTCAGGAACGATGGCTATTGGGTTGTCGCCACCCAGGTTTTGGACTTCGCGAGCTAATCCCTTCAGGTTTGGTCGTGGCGCGCTGGTCTTTTGCTTCTTGGATGGTCGGGGCGCGCCCGAGTGATCGGAAGGGAGATTGAGAACATCGTGAACGTCGCGCGAGGTCATGGTTTGTGGTGGTGTTGTGCCGGGTAGGTCGGTGGTGGTGGTGGTGGTGGGGTTGGTCGGGTCGACAGGTCAACCCCGTGCACTGTGGGGATATCTTAATAAGGTAGCGAGAGAGCTGCGAGTTTCGTCGGTCGCAGTTTTGTCCCAAACTTCAATCGGGCATCTGGCAAAACTCGACCTGAAAAAAAACCCAGGGTGGGGGTATCTATCAAACGGAAGTCTATTAAAAAAGCAATCAAACTGAATTGTCGCTCTTGAAATTTTGATGGACTGCGCAACGAAAAATCAACGTTTTGATGGCAAAGTTTGTCGGAAAATGAGCGACATGATTGAATGATGGCATTCACTGTGAGAACGCGAAATTCTGTCAAGCAACACCGCCCAAATTTTCCAGAGGGCACAGTGCGCTCTCACAGTTGTCACCCAAAAACGCACACAGTGCCCAAGGGTCAAGCTTTCTGGTTATTGATCTCGCACGTGACTCTCCCTTCAGCTCAACCCCTGAGATTGGCTGGGCCGCTCCACTGAGAGTGGCCCCAACTTTTTACTGTGGAAGCGTTCGTTGGTGCGTCCCAGAAACCTCCCCGGGGTCTATAAAGTACCTCTCGGAATC